TATAACTTAAATTTAGTAATACGTTTTTTTTAATTTTTTTGGAGGTAAGAGGTATTAATTACCCCTAAAATTAAATATATTTCTGCTTTGCTATTTAATCTAACAACATAATAGCACATACAAAATTTATAAATACATGTATAATTCACTGCATAGTGACAAATAATGTATATTCTTAAACGGTTCGATAATTTTGTTATCATTTATCCAATTTTATAAAAAATATGACAAGAACCATTATGGTTAATAATAAAAAGTTATTGATGATTATTGATTAAAATAAAAATTGATTGTAGATCGATTGAGTTTCCATTTGAGTACTTCAGTACTCATATGACACAATTTATTTTCACCTTTTTATTTGTTTTGTGATAAAATAAATATAATTTTTACATTGAATCAACTATTTAAAATATGTGTACATTCTAAATAAATTTATTTGTCGCAGGGCTTTAAAAAAAAATGATTCGTGACTTTATTAAATCAAAATAACTCAACTCTAAAATGTTTGTACACATTATTAGTAAGGAAATTTAACAACTAATCACTGATACTAGTGCAATAAATTACATACTCTACAACAATGTGGTAACATATTAATTGATTATCATTAATCCCATGAACTGAATAGTCAAATAATTAATATTTACTAATTTTTATATGTGTTTCTTTAGGCTTTTTGCAAATTAGTTTGTATTGAATAATATTCTGTAGGGATAAAAATATCCAAAATGTATTATGCGAAAAAAAATTTCGCAAATTAAGCTTCAAATTAAAATAAAATGCAAAATATTATAATTTTTGCTATAAATCTTACTAATTGAACAATAATTGCTACTAATTATTTCACACCTCTAACACTAATTGTTACTAATTTTTTCACACTTCTTATACTAATTGCTACTAATTTTTTCACACTTCTAATACTAATTGCTACTAATTATTTCACACTTCTAATACTAATTGCTACTAATTATTTCACACTTCTTATACTAATTGCTACTAATTTTTTCACACTTCTAATACTAATTGCTACTAATTATTTCACACTTCTAATACTAATTGCTACTAATTATTTCACACTTCTTATACTAATTGCTACTAATTTTTTCACACTTCTAATACTAATTGCTACTAATTATTTCACACTTCTAATACTAATTGCTACTAATTATTTCACACTTCTTATACTAATTGCTACTAATTTTTTCACACTTCTAATACTAATTGCTACTAATTATTTCACACTTCTAATACTAATTGCTACTAATTATTTCACACTTCTTATACTAATTGCTACTAATTTTTTCACACTTCTAATACTAATTGCTACTAATTATTTCACACTTCTAATACTAATTGCTACTAATTATTTCACACTTCTTATACTAATTGCTACTAATTTTTTCACACTTCTAATACTAATTGCTACTAATTATTTCACACTTCTAATACTAATTGCTACTAATTATTTCACACTTCTTATACTAATTGCTACTAATTTTTTCACACTTCTAATACTAATTGCTACTAATTATTTCACACTTCTAATACTAATTGCTACTAATTATTTCACACTTCTAATACTAATTGCTACTAATTATTTCACACCTCTAATACTAATTGCTACTAATTTTTTCACACTTCTAATACTAATTGCTACTAATTATTTCACACCTCTAATACTAATTGTTACTAATTTTTTCACACTTCTAATACTAATTGCTACTAATTATTTCACACCTCTAATACTAATTGTTACTAATTATTTCACACCTCTAATACTAATTGCTACTAATTTTTTTACACTTCTATCAGTAATTAATTATAAATTTATATTATTTTACTCTAATTATATCACATTTTGGATCTACCTTTGTGCCGATATAAATGAATTAATAATTATATTTGCTCTTTTGTTTAAAAATTGAAATAATGAATAAAACACACAATTTTTCTTTTTAATTCTTTTAAATATAATTTACAATAACCTGATTTGATCATATATATCCCAATTCTGTCCTTAGTATGAAATTTAAAATAATACTTTTATTTTATAACTTCAAATAATATAAAAAACCCAGCACAGGGGGGTAGCGGCACAGTGATGACGTGGCATAGTTGGATCAAGTATAATGATATCTGACAGTGATTAAAATCACTATCAAAAATAAACGCTTCGATGCAAATCTTTAGATAGTGTTTAATTTTAAAAAATTGGTGGATTATTCCAAAAGCT